AGAAGTTTGTATTTTTTGTAGGCTGCTTCACTTCTTCAGTTAATTAAATGAAACAGAAACCGAGAGAGAGAGAGGGAGGTATTAGTGTGCTTGAGTGACGACAGGTTCAGACAGTGTGACGATTGTGTGTGTCAGAGTAAGGTGAGTTGGACCCAGAACACAGAGCGAGTAAGAGCAGAGTCACGTGAAAACAACCAGCGGGTAAGTCAGCCTCCAGTGCTCTTGGTTTTGTTTTTATGTCTTATATTTGTTTATTTATCAATTTTTCTGTAATTTATATTTTTGCTTTGTATGTTCTTTTTTTCTTTAAATGTATGAATATTTTTAAGCTTATTATGAAGCAAACTTGAGATTCTGAAATGATAGTTTACACATAAAATAAGACACTTTATTTATATAGAAATATAGGAAACATAGCTTTTTTTATGTGTAAATGATCATTTACAACACCAAATTATAATATACTCTTAACTATGAAATGATAGTTTACACATAAAATAAGACACTTTATTTATATAGCAATATAGGAAACATAGCTTTTTTTATGTGTAAATGATCATTTACAACACCAAATTATAATATACTCTTAACTCTGAACACTGAAGTTAGTCAATTCTTTTTGAATTTTATAACACTTCCCAACCAGAACTACAGCTTGTAATATGAGACAACTACACCATTGATACTGACCTAACATTTCCAAAGAGTTGAAATCGACAGCAGAGCATTTAAATTAAAATATTTTCTCAGTATATCATGTATCGTAATATCTTAAAAACTAAGTTCCCATACATGTAAGTTAGTTATGGGCTTCACTAAAAAGTTTATGTGATCAAATATTTATAAGTACAGCTCTTAATTTCATGGTCCATTTCATTTGGAGTTCAGCTATTTGTAAAATATTTGAAAAGTCCAGCTTAATGAACGTCCTAATATGCATAATATAAAAAACGTGCAATAATGGCTGTTTAAACCTCTGCGCTGTATGACATATTTATGAGTGATTTTGAGTCACAGTCTTCTGTCGTGGCACCAGCTGCAATTCCAGCATGACCAACTGGAGTCAAAGTCAATGACAGGCTGGAGTTCATCTTATCATAAAGACACACTGTTCCTATAATAGGAATTTACTGATACACTGTATACACACAGAATGAACTTTGAACAGTGTGCCTATGATGCCATGACTGATAAACATGCATTAATGTGGGATGGAGGGGAAAGATAAACCTCAGGCCATGTGGATTTAATTTCGACAGTAGCCCCGAGGACGCCTGCTGCTCTTCTTCTTTTCTTTGATTGTGTAAGGACTGTTTTTTGTATAGTCTCTCATGACAAATATATGGCTGATCTTTTCTCAACATTTTTAACAGCACCAGCACACGTCAAAGTCATGTTTCCTTCCTTCCTCTTTAGATTGCAAAGACTGGATTAAGATCTCTCCTGAGTTCACAAGACCATGACTATTGGCAGGAGCTCCAAAAAGAACATGGCCCCTCGTTCTCCTCCTTTTCTGGACAAGGCTAGTGGATTCTATGGGCACTTGGATGAGATGTGTGGAGACGATGTACAGAGAGAGACCACAGAAGAGCAGATAGGATCCTTGAACTGGAGCAGCCAAGAGAATAGGACAGCTCCAAGCTGGATAGAAGAGGATGACCATGTGGTTGATTTTAACCAGGGTATGATGGATGACGATGGGACCACTTTACTGAAGAGAAAGCCCAGCAGACTGAGTCGCCGCTGGAGCAGGATGAGCTCCAGGAAGGCAAAATATGACAAATTTTCCTCAGAGAAAGAACTGGGTAACGAGACCAACAAGCCCACCTCTGTACATCTAAACCCAGAGGTGCCACCAGCAACCCAAACCCTGGAAAACAGCAGAGAACCAGAACCAACACTGGTCCATTTCTCCGTGAGGGAGCATGCTGACGACCAGATTCTGATCTCAGGGAAGAAGGAAGGAGAAGGGGAAATGGAAGACACAAGAAAAGAGAAAAAGCCAGAAGGCAAACAGAATGGGGAGTCATTGGAAGTTGTAAAGAGAAACACTCTCAAGAATTATCGCAAGGTAAGATTTAGTTGCCAATTAGTGTTGGTTTAATTCATTTTGTAAAATTCCGGAACCGGAATAGAATGACGTTCGGTTTCGTTGGCGGTTCCAACGTTCATTCCTCCGCCGAAATTCCTCCTCCGTACTGAAATACTTGTTCAGCGTTGTGCTCTTTGGTGAATAAAAACATGCCCGCAAAAAGCGTAGTCCGAACGAATGACTCGAATGAATCGGTTCTTTTTAGTGAATCAAACACAAACTGCTTACAACGACGTACGATTAGATTATGTAGTTAATGACGGGTAGTTCACATAACAACGTGTAGATAAAGATACCAATTAAGCGTTTGGCAGTGGTATTTTGTAAATATTAGAAAAATGAAATGTGTTCCCATATTTGTGCTTGCTTAGTAGCTATTGGTGTTTAATAGCCTATATAGGCCATAGTTAATACAAAATATTTGCATTTATGTCACCTTAAAAAAGACAGTCTAAAAAAACTTTTTTTCACTTGGTAATAATTTAATTGTGAATTAATCCGAACTTAATTGTGATACCTTCAATGCTCCATGCATCACCCCAGTATCTAATTACAATATTTAACTCCTAAGGCAGGGGTGTCCAAACTCAGTCCTGAAGGGCCGGTGTCCTGCAGAGTTTAGCTCCAACTTGCCTCAACACACCTGCCTGGAACTTTCATGCCTAGTAAAACCTTGATTAGCTGGTTCAGGTGTGTTTGATTAGGGTTGGAGCTAAACTCTGCAGAGCAGTGGCCCTCCAGGACAGAGTCTGGACACCCCTGTCCTAAGGCCTTAATATTATTTGGAAGATCACTTGAGCAGGCAGGGCTATGGTTACTCTGTAACCATATGGTTTGGAGGAGAAAGATATTTTAGACATCTGGGGTAAAGTTCCTTTTTCTGCATTGTGCAGAAATAAGCAGTCTTTTATTTCTGCTTGACTCCATCACCCCTTAACTGTTTGCTGCAATAGGCTATACCATGGTTTGCCTCTCCTTTCCATCTCTCCACCCTACCTAAACAGTAATAGCTTATATCCTTACTCCCACCCCCTTGTGTTATTAGTAATTTTTTGGTCCATCTGTTAAGTCACTGTCAGTTTTCTGTTTGCACTTATATAGTCAAACACAAGTGATACAGGGACAACAACTCTTTTCAGTCGCATACAAGGTGACCTTGGTTAGAGGAATGTCAGCAAATAACCAACCAACCCTGTCACCTACATTCTATGTCCTCTAGTTCAACTAATAAGGGCACATTCTTTCTCTGTCAGAGCAATGACCCTGTAGAACTGAACAAACTTCTGTATGAACAAACTTCTGATGTATGTTCATATATAAAGGGTGTTGTTTTCTGTGATAAACTGGCTTCATCATTTATTGTCATTTTTCTACTTTAAGGCTGTGGATGGAGCTTTCCGTCAAGGATGGGAGACTTTCGTTGCCAATCTGTACAGTGTGACACTGACACCTATATCATCAACCTCTTCTTCATCCACACCATCAGACAAAACTGAATTGAACAGGAATTGAGTTTTAGCAGAATTCAGATAACAGTAGAACAGAATTACTTGTATTTTCAACTTGATGAGTAATTCCAATTATTCATTTAATGTGCTCAAATATTTAAGAATGCATTGTTGTTCTTGCAAAAAACTGATAGCCACTGATCTTGTTTTAAACTGATCATCATGTAACTTGACATGAAAGGTAAATATTTGAACTTTTTATCAGTGTATAAATTTGTTATCACAGTGCTAAAGAGGCGTCTACCTGATCTTTGTTCCCTTTGTGAGGAAACACGAGGCCTATGCTATTATTATCTGACATGGAAAGATCTTTTTTATTAGGTGTGATAATGTTTTTGAGCTGTGAACAGTAGCAGAGTTCCTATACTTTGGCCATGAACGTGTATTACAGGTTATGTACCAAAGGGTTAACTCTAAAAAAAAAACAAAAAAAACTGGGAGCTCATGGATTAAAAAAAAAGAAAAAAAAAAAAGTAATCAACCGGTAACATCACCGGCAGTGAAGTGTATAAATAACTGAGCCAAGAGATGAAGTGAAGATGGCTTTTGTGTTTTTGGGACTTATTTATCTTCTATAACTTACTTGCTGAACCCAATTTCCTAATGACATGTAGGAGAATTTTTTGTTTTGTTTTATCTGCATTGTGACATCAAAGCAATGCTAATAATTAAAAGGAAAAGTGAGACAAAATCAACCTGTGTTGCTTGATTCTGTTCTACTGTACAAAAGTGTTGTTTCCCATACAGCAAAAAAATATATCTTTTGTGACCAAAATATATACCAAAATATATAAATGTATGCCAAATATATGTTGTAAACAGTGAAGCTCAATGAAAAATATTTTTTAAATAGAAAATATATTTAGCTTCAACCCTCATACACAAAAATTACAAAAATATATTTCAGAATGTGACATATGTGAATGTGTTTTCTTGGATTGAACATAGTGCAAAATATATATATTTTTAAATGTTTTTAAAATTATTATATTTATATTATATATTATATAATTATATTATTTTTATTTTTAAAATATATTTCAAAAGATATACAAAAAAATGGGTAATCATGCATTCAGAAAATGAGCATACTATGCACAGTATACATACTACATAGATGTAGACTAGAGTGAGTAGCTTTGCTGTTCCGAGGCCTACTAGTACCCTTGTATCTGTGCAGATATGATGCCATCTAGTGGAAAACGTGAAGCTTAAAAAAAAGACAATTATGATATTCATCTACTTTGTATTTTAACAAAATGCGCCAGTTCTGCAGCTATATGTAGGCCTATGTGTGATAGTCATAGACGTGTGTTATACATGGTTATACGTTCAAATTAGTAGGATGGAGGACCCCTTAGCACAAATTTAACTCTGGACATTTTTCATACTTGATTTATAATTTATGTCATTGTCACTGACCCCCCCACCCCCCATATTGTTTTGCCTCTCAGTGTCTGTGATTAATCTGCTGCATTTATTATTTTTGCTATAGAATATGTATTATATGCACTAGAATAACATATTTTTACATACATTTTGTGCGGCTACAGTTTATTCATTTATTTAATTTGATCTCATAAACTACAATGAATGCTGGCGCTTTTAGTGTAATCCAGTAACCTCATTGGTTGTTTTTAAAATGGGCGTGGATTTGACGTGACAAGAATAAAACGCGCCGAGACCATAGACTGTATAAAAACAGGCCGAGACTTTCCTTTCGTCCATTTTGGTGCAGCTTCTCCGTTGGTAAGGCGTTTTGCTATATTTACGTTACATGTACTTTAGTTGTTCTGTTTTATTTCTCCTACAAAGGGGGCCTACGCTATATATATATACTTTTTCTTTCTTAGTATGCATTTAAAGGTTTATTTCAGTTCATAGGCAGACTTCTGGGTGTTTCTGTTCCGTTGGCCCATGAGCCTCTGATGTGTTATCTGAAACCATCCTGGCTTACTTTTTGCTAATATTTGAAACTTTCCCATTATTATCAAAGTTGACTTGTTACTACAGCAGAATTAAGTCATATTTACCACTGGTTTGCTTTTTTTAAGGCTTTGCCGAGTTCTCTCAATGATGATAACTTTCACAGACCTGTACTGAAATACTGTGATTGCACGTTATTTATCTGAGGAGAGGCTGACGTGAATTTCTTACCTTTTGCGTTAAGAGTGCTCTGGAAGCTTCAAATGCAAACACGTGTCTTGACTAGAGGTTTTTCTTTTGCAGCCATGGCGGCTACGACGAGCATGGGCTCATGGGAAGGTAAGTTCTGTAGTAAGGGTGCATTTTAGTACTTTTCCTGAAGCATACATCTTTTGGCCAGTTATGTCTAATGGTAGAATTATTACATTTAAGCACCACTCCTTATGAGTGCACAACGCTATATTTGCATTCTTGGATGTGTTTTAGAGACCAGTTTGTGCCACTTCTATGTGGACCTGATATTAGGCCTGTCACGTTAACAACTTTATGTTGTGCGATTTTGACTGCCCCAGAAATAAATGCAATAAACTATTGTAATTAAGACTATTTTGTGCCACTGAATAATATAATCCCAATATAACGGCATAATAATGCAAGAAGGCATACACACTTTCAAATGATGACAAACTTTTAATTCTTAAGAGTATTTAGATCATGGAAATTAAGTCAAAATAAGATGTTAAACTTGATAAAACGGTGAATAAACGTTTGCTAACTGCAAAGAAACTAGTAGAAAAAAGAGAAATTCTCAATTAACTTGTATGGAGATTTTTCCATCTACAGATTTTACCCTGACCTTCTTTGTAAATTAAGGGTGCACAGCACACTTGCTAAAAAAACCCACAATCACTACTTAACAGTCAGATGTCCGTATGCACAAAGGCACAGATCCCTAAACAAGGCCATATCTGCAGATGAAACTTTTTCGTGGAAGCGTTTTTTGTACTAGCACCGACTACACTGCGAGAAGCTGCAAAAGACAGGCGCAAGTGGAATGCAAAAAACATGGGGACATTCATTTTTATGTAAATATAATGGACATTATATTGAGTAACCAAAAATTGAGGTCATGTAAATTGTGCGAATAAGTCTATATATCTATCTATCGATCGATATGGCAAAAATATATCACGTGTGGTTGTTTTGTTTTTGTTTTCCAGGAAAATCATGATTTACCACTATTCTTCTATATCACTTTTTACAATTTTGCAAGTTTTCGGAGCGTTACAGCCACACTATTTTCCCTATTTTAAAAACAAAGACTTACAAGCTGAAAAAATCTTTAAAAAAAAACAATGGCAGACATTTAGGCCAAAGTGGGCAACGATAAAAATCTTAACGTTATTATAAAATAAAAATAGATGCATATTACAACTAGACAATATACAAATAAAACAAGCAGTGCTTTATTTTTCAGGTTCAGTCGGTGTATTTAGCAATAGCAGTCAAGAAACCGAATGAACCAATATAAAAATACAATAAACACTTCACTGGATAAATGCATTGATTCTTATTAAAGCAATTATATTCGTTTTTTTTTTCTTTGCCTTTTGTATTAACATTTAAAGGGATACTATCAAAGTCAATGGGGACCAGCAACTGTAATGAAATGTTAACTCGGCGGTAGATTTACATGTGACCGGGTCGTGTTGTACAGTATGCTGAGACGGAGACGCCAGAACTGCAACTGATGGAATGTGCGCTGTAGCAGGATAATACAATATTTCTTCAAAAACAGATTGTGGTGACATTTTAATCATCCACGATCAAAAATCCTTATCGCACACTCCTAATCTTCCACCTATGGTTTAGGCCTGAATTATGGTCTACCACACCCAAGAAGTAACGGCAGCATTTGTGTGCTGAGTGTGAATAGTCATCCAGTGCTACTGTGATGACTTTTGAATTCTCTCTTCCTGAATTGCTTTGATGTAACTGTTCTAAACTGAGTAGCATTGGACATCTAGCGCACACACTGCCAAGCATTTCTTTCTAGTTCTAGTCATGTTTGTGAATGCAGGCACTTACAAAATGCATTTGTTTTGCAGTTTCCATGCAGGATGCTGGGATGAGTAGACAGATCTTTTAAATTCAAGGTAAGCTCTTCAAGTGTTGAGGTTCTCCCTTTTAAGACTGAACATTTAGATGATGATTTCAAAGACAAGCATATGTCTGAATTCCAGTGATGTTTGCCTTTTTTATTCTGACATAGTCCAGATGATGAGTCCAGTCTAGTCACCTCCTTATTGTGGTATTTAAGTGTTTTGTTCTACTTTAAGGGCTCATTCACATGAACTTGGAGGGCATGGTGACCATAGATGTTGTATTGGTAAGAGTATTTTCATATTCAAAATTTGTTTAATTTTCAACTTGTCAGAAATTATTACTCTTTCATATCTTAACTGGACGACAGATTTGTCATATGGCATTCTAGTCACCAAAGTATGATCCGACTGTATAGTGCTTGTTTTTGAACTGTTGGCTGCTTTCTGTGCTTATGCTTGTTATTTTTCTAGATCATCCTACTTTATCTGTGGTGGTCATGGTGCGGCCATAGTGTTGTGTGTGTTTTTTTTTTTTTTTTCTTTTTTTTTTTCCCCCTCCTTTGTATTTCTACTGTTAATATCTGGACAGCATTATTGTCCCATGACGTTAGTTACCAAAGCCCTGATCAGACCGTGATAAACCTGATGGTCTTGTTTCTCTGTAGTTTAAATATTAAAGGTCTTTTGTTTTTTTTAGGTAGTGTTGGAACAAAATGACCTTTTCACCAAGAACCTGCAACTCCCTAAGGTACTTCGGTTTAATTTTTTTAAATGCTGTTTTGCTCCGTCTCTGTGACGAAGATACTTAGCTCACTTTGACCCAATGTGAAAAGTCCCGAACATCTGAGAGATTTATTGGATGTTTATAATTCTGATTTTACATATGCCCGTGTCAGACATGGTTCCTCTTATTTTCTTGACAGGACTGTTATTTGTCCAAAACCAAGTGTGCCAAGTCCTTTGGTGGTACTAGGTAAGGTTACTTGCTCCCATGTGCTGATTATTAACCCTCTGAAACTGATGATGATTATCTTTTGGAATCTCGTTCGTCTGAAATCCTGTTGATAAATCTTTATTACTGAAGTTACAGCACATGATTCACCTACATTTGGAATGCTTTCTGTAACTGAAATGACACCCAGATTGGTTTTCTCTCCTAAAAGGTTGCTTACCTGAAGTACTCTCAGCAGGTAAGAATATGCATTTCCTATGACAATTTCCATTGAAATGGTCCCTTTTTAGTTAACTTGCACCACTCGGTGCTCTATTCCATCTGTAACGTATGATGATTTTTGCAGTCTCGTTCGTCTGAAGTCCTGCTGATAAATTTAAGATTACTGATGTTACAGATTAGGCATCTATCTATAGGTGTTTATCTCTGCATTTGTGTAGGTCTACCATCTACCATTTTTTTTTTTTTTTTTTTTTTTTTTTCCTTTACCTATAGGTGGCACATCTGATATGAAACTTTAACCGGTGAGAATTCTGTTCCTAATATACAAAATGACAAACCTATTGCAGCTGGTCCTTTTATGATGTAACTTGCACATGTCTTACGCCCTGTGTCAATACCAGAACCTGAAAAGGTGAACCCACTGGTGTTGCCTGGGTAACAAGGGGATGACTTGTTGGGGTTACCAACAGTCTGAGAAGGACTAGCTTAAGTGTAGACCAGTTTCTTTTCATACGTTCCCTCATTTATTTTTGTCTCAATTGCTTGCAGGACTGCAGTGGATTCTTGAAGTTCTTCCCCCTTGAGTGTACTGAAGCTAGTATGCATTTTGTATTTTCAACTCAAGTTACATGTGAACTAATGGGTGTGATGACTGAGTTACCGCCCCAGTCTGATTTATCTGACTGAATGGTACCCTCTGACCCCAGTAATGGTTTTCAGTTAAATTGTGCTTTCTAATCTTTATTTTAAAAATTCAAGTTTTTTTTTTTTTTTTAAATGCCTGTGTAATAAGGGGATGACTTGGTTACCAAGTCTATTAAGGACTAGCTTTAGCATACATGAAGCGTTTTCCTTTTTTTCTTGTTTCCTTACAGAACTACAGTGAACTTTCCCTCCACAAGTTCTTACTGAAGCTGGTGTGTATTTTGTATATTTTCAATGAGTTACATGTGAACTAATGGGTGTGATGACTGAGTTACCGCCCCAGTCTGATTTCTGACTGAATGGTACCCTCTGACCCCAGTAATTTGTTTGATTTTAAATTTGAAATGTATGGATGTGAGATGTGATTTTACTGCCCCAGGCTGAAAAGTCAGGACTGATTGATATCCCCTCTTGATCCTTTTTTTTTTATTCTCCCCCCCCCCCCTTATCTTTCTTTATCCCCCTTAGGTCTCGTAAACTGCATCTGAGAAGTTGAACTGGCTGACACCGATTCGTGTCCTTGTACTGTGCATCTGCTGAACTGAAGTGTTGACTGCATGGTGTTAATAATTGACAATATAAATGGAATGGTTTTTCCTTTTTGTATTTATTCCTAAGCTGCTTGCAAAATAAATGGCTTTACTGAATTTGCCGTTTCAAATCCAGTTGTGTCCCCGAGTCTTCACCTCTTGCATTCATGTTTGTATCGGGCAACTTAATCTTTAAATGGGAATGTGACACTTTGCACTAAAATTCAGCTTGTAATGCTTTAGGCATCATGAACTAACAAATGGCATTTAGTTGTGCAATGCTTGCTCCTATTAGAATTCATTTATTTCTGTAACTTAACTGTTGGTAGGCAACGTTCACAGCATTTAATATAGAAGTAGTGTTCAATGTTGGGTCATAATGTTAAGGTAAGATTTGCACGAAAGCAAAAACTACTGCCGAACAAACTGAGGTCCAAAAATACCCCTTAAAGGGCAAAAAAAAAAACAAATGAAAGGGGTGTAGTTGAGATGCAACCACCCTCTAAAACTTCAATCAAAAAGGGAAGGCTGACCTGTAAATACTTTAAACAGAAGGAAAAAGACTGCATCAATTGTAATTGAAAATGACCAGAGACAAGATTTGTCAAGGCAGAAATAAGTGTATTCTTGGTAAGTGATGGCTTAACAGCTTTACAGCTATTTCGACATCCTCAAACATTTGAAATACATGTTCAGCACAATTTTTTTTTTTTTACAGTCTCTAAAATGTGCTAAAACATTCAGTCCATCAGTCAGCTGTGAAGATCCGAGCTGCTATATCATCGAGTAGCCAGTCCACACCCGTTAGCAGGTTCTCACCCGTCACGGCACTGCATCCCACAATACACCAGTGATGGGTCTTAATGTCATCAAGCGCTAAAACCTGGGCAAAATTCAGAAAATGAGCATATTCACAGATTCCTGCAAATGCAAGGCAGTTTCATTAAAATACAAATGTCCCTGTTTAACAAGACTCGCCTCTCGGATTCCATCTTTTGATGAAGCACCTGGTAGGTCCTGTTTGTTAGCAAAAACTAACAGAGTGGCTCCTGCTAATCGCTATTTGAGAGAAATGCATTAATTATAAAGTGTAAAACATTACATTTTATTCAACATCACATGCTTGATTCGAAACTATGTGGCCTATTGTCACTTGTGTTCAATAAAAATGCAGAGTAAACGTCAAAATCTGACCATTTCATTTCTTTAAACTCTGTAACATTAGGTCCAAGTAAAGATATTGGTCCTCTCACCTCCTCTAGTAATAAAGTACTCAGCTCTTTCCTGCAGTCCTCCAGTCTCAATCTGTCAGCGCTGTCCACTACCCACACCAGTCCATCTGTACTCTCAAAATAATTCCTCCAGTAAGATCTCAAGGACTTTTGACCACCCACATCCCAGATATTCAGCTTAAACCTAATTTCAGTGTGAAGAAAAAGATAAACAAAATTAATGCATTTGAGAATTATTTGAAATGTATCAGCAATATTGATAAACAGTTTGTATATTTGTACATTCTCTTTACACACATATATACCCTTTTTAACAATTAGTTTCATTCAAATTTAGCATCTTATGCCCTTAACTTCTTATTGATTCAAAACATGTATAACAACCAGTCTTTTGTCGTACCCTCTGTGCTCGAGAGTCTTTATGTTGAAGCCTAATGTTGGAGAGATCGTGCTGACGTCCTCGCCGTTGAACTTCTTTAGGATGGTTGTTTTCCCAGCATTGTCAAGACCCCTATAACAGGAAGGTTGAGGACCCACAACAGTCTTTAGCATTACAAGTTATAAAAACATTACACTAAACGAGCCTTGTTTGAGTAAGCGACACTCGTGAATAGAGCGAGTATGCAATTTATTAAAAATAAAAACAGTGGCTTAAAAAGAATATTGTTTTCAAAGTTATTTATATGAATACATTTGAATTCAGTTCTGTGAAAAGATAACTTGCAGCATAAGTAGACGCATTTCACGCTCCTTGTGCTTCATCTTCTTTAAGATCGTCAGTAAACCCATCGCGAACGTTTACGTGTAACCCACTGAACTGACCTTAACCAGAAATCAAACGTTAACTATCGTTAACTAAATAATTTCCTAAATAAAAATCACATGCGTTGTGCGCAAAGCCAGACTGGAAACAAGGAAGCGTTACTGTGAGTTGACACAACACATTGAAGTATGATTGGTTAGAGAGTGCGTAAAGATGGCGCTGAAGAAATATGATTGGTTCTTTTAACTGTCATTCATACTTGGGCTTTTTTTTTTATTGGCGAAGGAGAACCGCGGCAAGGGTGTGTCTGCTTTTCCAATAGGTGAAGAAAGTTGTCAACCAGTCGTTTCTATAGCAGCGCCCCCTTGTGCGTTTTCCAAACATGTGAGCTGAACTCCACCAAAAAGACTTCTTGTAAAGTAAATTAATCCAAAATCCTTTTAAAGGGGTCATATGATGTTGCTAAAAAGAACATTATTTTGTGTATTTGGTGTAATGAAATGTGTTTATGCGGTTTAAGGTTAAAAAACACAGTATTTTCCACATACTGTACATTATTGTTTCTCCTCTATGCCCCGCCTTTCTGAAACTCGTCGATTTTTACAAAGCTAATCGGTCTGAAAAGCGAGGTGTGCTCTGATTGGCCAGCTATCCAGTGAGTTGTGATTGGCCGAATACCTCAAGCGTATGATGGAAATGTTACGCCCCTTACCATGCCCTGTCTGGCCGGAACGTAACATAAAACCATGTCTGCATTTGTGATCGGAGACATGACAAATAACAAGTGCTACTCTACACTGCCCTTCTTTCTTTGCGTGAACATTTGGGCGGTGTTATGCAAATCTTCCCACTTCCTGACATAGATATGTGGGGGCGTGTTAGAATGAGACGTTTTTGGTAGGCGTGGTTGACTCTTAACTTTTATAAAGAATATCTCTTTGGATTGGAGACTTAAGTCTTTGCAACTTTACAGATCTTCTTTATGCACCAAGAGCTTGTAACACTCCAAAGAGAAAGGAAAACTTGAAATCGCATCATATGACCCCTTTAACATTTAACAGCTAGCTGCCAAATATTATAGTCTCTTATTTAAGGGTAGACGTTTACATTAAAGATAAAATAAAAATAATAATTACAAACAAAAACAGCCACAGTGATATTAAAACAGAGAACCTTTTTAATGGTGGTGTTTATAACAAGAAAACATGATGAGGATGTTGAATATCTCAGTGAAGAAGTTTAATGCAGTATAGTAAAGTATGGTGTTAATAATAATTAAAAACTGTTATGTGGTACAATCATCATTTTATTGTTTAGATCTCATAAACAATAAAATGATGAATCAAAAATACTGTGATCTAAAACATCTAATTGAATGTTTGTCAGTTGTCCTTTGGCTTTCATCGAAAGAAAAGTATAGTAGCTACACTAATTGTAGGACAGCCCCCTAAAAGAAACCTTTACGGTAAATTCCTTGTTTATTCAGTCTGTCTCAGTTTTTGTTTCCCCCGACTTGAACCTGCTGACCTTATGTGTGCAGCAGATCCTTATCAGCTGCTGCCAAATGCCTGTAAACATTGCTAAGCAGAACCTTGATGCTGCTAAATTATACTAGTAAATAGTTTTAAAATGCTGGATTCACATCATTTGTTATATTAATCTCAGTAATAATGAAATACCGTAATAGCCTTTCATAATTAAGCCTTCATATACCACACAGTTACACCCGTTTGGACTTCCTGGTAGGAATTCCCAGTATTTGTCACTAGAGCGGGAAATGAACAACCCAAATACTGGCAATAGCCTACTGTGCCGGAAGCGCTGATCTCCCTGCTCCGCTAACCGGGCCATTTAAAATAATTCGAAACCGAAAACAGTCGAGTCCACCCCTCTGTTGCGTCAGTCGATTCACAGAGCTATTGGCTCATTCTGCCGCCCACGGCCAACATTACAAAGACCTCAGACCAGTTTAAATCATGACCACTGACAACTGCTGCATCAGGATTCTCTTAACGCGCTTGCTTTTCAGTTCCAAGAATTGTGTTCAATACGGAAATACTATCAAAGATCGATTTATTCTGAAAGTATACATGCAAGCATTTTGTTCTGATTTAACTGCCGAAAAGCATTCGTGTACTTGGAGATGCCAGCTGCCCTCATGGACAACTTTGACCAGGGAAGTCCTTTCTCACAAAGTGATTCTCAAAGTCCTCATGATTGGGTTGGTATAGAGTGAATTCATTCATTTAATGTTATTTTACTATGTATAAATAATATAATGCTGTTATAACAAGCAATAAAGTACTTAAACTATTATTATATTTTCTAAATTATTTGTTATATTTAATATTTTATATAAGTTTTTTTTTATTATTATTTGCTATTATTTGTGCATGTGTGTGAGTGTATGTATATATGTATATATAACAATGACATAAAAAAACGAATATTATTTGTTTATATATAAATAAATCTATATTTATATTATATAATGTAATTCACATAAATTATCTGATGAATATCTTAAGAGCACACAGTCAGAGGACCACAGGCATCATCGCAGAGAAAAAAACAGAGATGCAGCTCGCAAGAGTCGCAGAAAACACACAGAAAAGGCAGACTTGCTGCATGAGGTCAGTAGCAAATTAGGACCTTTGACACTCTCTTTCAAATGAATGGGTTCGGTTTGCTCTGTCCCTATTTATGTAATCTCTTCAAATCCTTACATTTGTTGTGTACCTGTATGTATCTTTTCATTCACATTACTCACTCAAATATATTTACACTTTTTGCTCTTTATTATTGTTATTGTCAGCTACATAACCTGTACCCTTATAATTCTTTGTAATTATTAAGTAACGTGTCATAATGATAACCTTCCGCAGAATGTGCACGCTTCTGCTGAGGATTTTTTTTGTGTGTGTTTGTTAATGATTACTTTGTAGTCTGTGTGTTGGTGGAGGAGCATTAGTATTGCACAACCTTTCAGTACAGAGGAGGCATTTCTGGGAAACACGGTGCATGACTGGGACAGCTTACAGATTAGTTGAGCTAGTGCCAGGCTAGTTATTTCAGTTTAACATCTGACATGTCATATACCTTCACTTTCACTTTCATTTTCTCTTCAGATGATGTACAAATCTTGGACTTTCCCTTTTTATCCAACCCACTAATCGCATCTCAGATCCTTTCCAAGACTAACAAAACATGAGGAAGTCTGAATTGTTTTGTTTTTTTAAGAAAGTGTGTAATGAACTATGAACTTAATATGTGGGGAGAGCAGGTCAAATCTATTTTAAATTACTTTTTATTTTATACTACTCACAGCTACTCTATATTTAACTATGCCACATTTCTTTCACTTTGAAACGTCTGCTTTTCAGCTGAATTCATCTCAGTATTGTACTCTTTATAAACTAATTTATTTAATTATTTTTACTTAGGAACTCCAAACTCTAGAGCAGTCTAATGCCGCATTCGTAAAAGAAATAGCTGAACTGAAGAAGGAGCTTCAACTCTACACCTCAGCTTTGGAACAACATATACCTCACTGCACTAAACTATGTCCATTTGAACCATCAGCTCCTGTTACTGGAGGTCCGTCCACAGCTTCACCCTCTACCTCAGATATCACATTCAGCACTGACCCCAACCTCTTGCCGGACCTTGCATTCTTACCAGAAAGTAATTCAATGGACATATCTCTAACAGACCTTCTCGACAGTAGCGACTGGTGTCCTTGGGACTCAGTGAATGGGAACGGGTGCCTACAGCAGTTTTGAGGTTTTGTACAATCAGTTATGTTCTTATTTGATGACAAGGCTTACATACTGCATCCTGCAAACAGCTATTTTTTGTTGTGTTCAGATGCTAATGGTGCTAAAACCCTGATCCATTAAGGTGTGAATATGTTGTTTCTTATAATTTATTTAAACAATACTTACAGATGGCAAGATTTGATTTACAAGTAGCTATATTTTAGATATGGGCATTATTTTTTTTAGATGTAAGACCACAGCCTAAATGTTGGGCTTAGTGATTCCATACTTTAATCCATTTTGATTTGTAAAATGAAAATGTTCAGTTATTTCATAAATTATATTTTGATAATTTCAAGAGTTATTTTTTAAAATATGGCCAGTGACACTCATTCTTGTCGAGATCTATGAAGATATTCAACAATACTTTAAAGATTAAAGCAACTGTGTGTAGTTTTGTGTATTTTGGTGACTTAGTTTGGAGCCAGCTACAATCAAGTAAGTGGAATTTCCTTGTTGTAAATATCACTGTTCAAATTACAGTGGCTAGCTGTAGGCTACACATACATTTGCTGCTGCTGTAAATCAGTCCTCTCTTTTTGTGAAATTTCATACCCACCAAACTTGCATATTCCCAGAGCAAACGTTTACGGAGCAGTGTGGGGTAAAACCAGAAGCTATTCACTTTATAAGAAGTCAGTGTACCATCAAAATGATATTTGAAGGTAAAAACGGTACATACAGTTGCATTAATGTCTTACAAGACGTACCACACAACTTCTATGATTATATATATATATATATATATACATATATATATATATATATATATATATAGCAATAACACATCCAAACACATAGTGAAGCAGGAAGGAGAGAGAAAGATGAAAAAAACAAACAACAATCCAGAATAGTTGAACATATGTAGAAACAAAATATGTACTCAGTTCAGAGGAACGTAACAATCAGCACAAAGAGGAGACCAAGTATGCCAAAAGTTATTAGGCCTCTGATGTAAGCTTTTCTAATGGTTTAAGAGAAGCAGCCTGACTCAGCCTGATCTGTGGGGCTGACCATAACAGAAGTCCCCCCCCCCACCACCAAATCTGTTCAAACATTTAACACATTATGTACCTGTAGATATACATTCGGAGACAATGCAAAGGATTTACCAGTAATCTTCTGCACAGTTTTGTGAATCTCCCTCCAGTGTGCTTTGATCCTGTCGCAGTCCCAAAATACATGCATCACTGTAACAATGTCAACCTTACATTTAAAAAACAACTGGGAAACATTGAGGAATATTTTATGAATGTAAACCGGTGTTAGGTACGTCCTGTGAATAATAATACATCCTAGTTTTGTTTATGGTTCAAAACTTCTATTTTTTTATTAGCCTGAATTAAAAATTATATTTTAGTGGGGATTAGTAAAAAAAAAAGTGTAACTGTAGACTGCCAAAGTGCCATTGAAAGGAAATAAAAGGAAATGTTGGAATAAACAACTTGACACATTTTTTTCATTTTTTTTTTTTATTGTTAATATTTAAAAAACCTTTGTCTGTCAAATCAAAGTAAGTGTGGTGTGACCTATATGCAGGCAGCCATTTTATTTACATATATTTTGATATTTGTTCTGGTTAGAGTAATGTTCAAGCAATTATGATATTAATGACTTAAAAATGTATTATGTTTGTAAACAAATATTTAAAAAATGTGATTTTCTAAGTCAATATATAGCCTTTAAAAAAAAAGTTTTTAGACTAATTTAGTCTTTAAAAACGTTATTTATTTTTTGTGTGGTGTACTTGATGGTCATCCAACTGGACATTTTTTAAAGTCATTAAAATATAAATGTAGTAGTTGTATAAACAGTTTTAAGAACTTGATTTTTAAAATATTTTTTGTATTTGTCATTGACTCGCATAGCTACACCTAAGAATATGTCAATGCATGAAACCTCGAAGAAAATTTCTGTAAAACAATATCAATCGCACTCAATCTTTCTCGATGGTACAGCAGTTGAGGATGCTCTCTCGATTACCAAAACGCCCATAACATTTAGCATCACATTTAGTAGGCTAGTCTTTAGGTAGGTCAGCGGCACGTCGTCCTTCGACTGATATCACAGAACTCGTAGTTAGCGACGGACTGAACAAAAATCAGCGGATACAGCGACGGGTGAACGCGCGGAATAATGAACGAATGAAGCAAGAACAATGGCCAACCTGACAGTCCCAAAACACAGCGGCTAACACAGACTGAGGCAGCCAGTGAGGGAGGGACAGAGGGAGGAGAAGGGAAAGGGGCTGAGGTAGAAGACAGCTGTCTGATAAAGATACGGATGAAATAAAAACAAATAGTCACTTAAACGGTGAATAGAGTCAACGGTATAGCCATATAACATATAGCGACGTCTAGAAGAGGGTCGCGCAAATGTAGGAAGAGTAAATAAATAAATAAGCGCGCGTGAGCGTCATCCGCAGTGTGTAGCATCTACATCTACTTGCACCACCTGAAGACAACGACCGACACTGACTGCTGGGAAATAAAGAAACGGGTGGAAAACACGAGGAATCAGCGGAGAGGAAGGGCGACGGGGGAAATCAACGAGACTGTCAACGTCCTTGTGATACAGAAGTAACTGAACAGCGGTTTCTTGTAGTATTTGAGGCAAGGAGGTAGAAGGGGGTATCGGTGCTGCAGCGGCTGCCGTGATGCTCAACACATGTAGGCACGTTTGAAGCAGTTCATCCCCGCCCTGTGTGGATCTGACCGAACCGAACCGACTGTACGGTAACGGATGTTAGTAGGGGGGCGCTGGAAGGCTCTGAAAAGGACTTGAGGCGCAGAACTGGTGACTGGTAATATGACGATAACCTTTAATTAATAAGTGATGCATTTGTACCTGTGTGGAGGAGATAAATAACAGGATTTTAATTGCTCGTTTGTTTTTCCAACATGGATTGATTGGCCCATGATCACTGTATAGAATGCTTATTAGCCTACACCCGAGTTTTAATACGGTACCGATTTATGCCTCTAGCCTATAGATATTTAAATAAAGACCACATTTAGGCCGATGACTTTCTGATGACGACAGTACGGCAGAGATGTCTTTATTGTAGAAATGTATGTTCACATCAATATCTCTTCATGAAGATATAGACAGTTACATCCAACCTTGTGCTTATTTTCGAGTCTAATCTCGTTTTTTAATGTAACACGGGCGAGAGACGCGTCAAATTGAACACCGATAGGTTTTACTCCACCATACATTTTTGACCAGGTCAGATAACTTCTGTCTTTAGTCGATCCCTGCTTGTTGATTTTACTTTTTAAATCCAAGAAATGTTTTTTTGTCTAAATAGCAAGGCTTAGGAGCCTGCTCTCGCCGTTGGCTTCCTTCCTCGAACAACCTTCTGCCGAGCACCACCTTTGCAGCGATGGAGACCCCTACGAAGCTACCTCCGTCGAGCCCATCATCGCCGACCACGGGCTTCTCTGTACCGAGCGCGGAGAAGGTAGACGGCTTCCCCCGCCGCTCGATGCGTCGTGCCCGGCAGCGACGGTCCCATAGCTCCTCACAGTTCCGCTATCAGAGCTCCCAGGTGGAGCTCACGCCGCTGCCCTTACTTAAAGGTAGGTTACTTTAACTGGGACGTGAGGTGGTTTGTTTTAAATGGCATGTTAGTTAGGAAATATGGAGAATAAAAATGAATCCCCTGATATTGAAATAGGCTATTACAGCCATTTTGGTAGTTGTGAACTCAGTGTTTTCATGAGCAGCCTTGAGAGATGTCATGGTACCTCCATAAGGACTCCAAATGTAACTAAATCTTCTGAGGAGCACAGCTAGACTCAGTAGAATTCCCTTTAACGTCATTCAAGGATATATAATCTAAAAGATCCAATGTTCTGACTGAATTTTTATTGGTTACATTACATGGAAAGCGGGTTTTGTAACATTAAATTCAACTCAACTCAAATACCTTGTGTTGTGTAGCAGAAACCTAAATTAATTGAGTAACCCCAATAAGATTAGATGTATCAAAGTAACTCAAATGAACCCTTTGCAGTACTAGCTAACATAGCAATATAATTATTAATAATAATTCATAATTAATAATAATAATTTATGCATATAGCAGATGCTTTTATCCAAAGCGACTTACAGTGCATTCAGGCTATACATTTTTTACCAGTATGATATATATATATATATATATATATATATATATATATATCATATATCAATATCATAAGCAACTTTTCTTGCTTATAATGTAGGATGTTGGTAAATGCAGGAAAGAAGAGATTGCTCATTGCAGTGGGATTTGCATAACTGTTCATTAAGGGAAACAACACAAACCATAGAATCTGGCTCAAAAACATACAAAATAAAATTTCTAGTCAACAACCTAGTCCTATGCAAAGTTTGCTGGGAATCAGAAATTCCTAATCCAGTTTAGTTAATGGCAACAAAATTATTCATGTAGTCCAAATGCAGTGAGTAAACTTCTGTTTTGCAAACGTGTTTTTCAT